TCCAGCTTTTTCTAAACTGATTTTGGCGCATATTTATTCTTCATACAATAACTTCTCATTAGGATGAAAATGGCTTGCGATCCCATACCGCAGAGTAACTTCCGTTCAGTTACTTTGCTTGAGGGCATCGCTGGGAAAGGGAAAGGGTGGAGTTGTGTGTTGCTGCACACTACAGTGTGGCCTCTTCTGTCCTCCCCAGGCAGACACAAGACCCACCAGTCCTCTTACAGCCCACCGGGGTCTCCATAAACTATTTTTGTCACATTCCAGAGATGAAAAATGGGCACCAGCCAAGGCCAGAAAGCAACCTAGTTTTTGGTGGTTTCTTTGCACTGCAGAGCAATGCCTCCTTCCCTGTCGTCTTTAGTGTGCCCAGGTAATGGGCCTCCAGGGGTGTCACATGTGGCCTTTGGGATGCATAAAACTTGGTGTATCACTAGTTTTGTAGTCCAGCTGCAAAGTCCTTACCTGGGTGCTGCTCCCCCTCGTGAGCTCCTGGGTGTTTGGGGATTTTGTCTTCCTCTGCCCCTACCTTGCCCTACATAGACTCCCTGTGCCTTTCATGTTCTTTGCTGCTTTTCTTGCTGTCAAGATTGTTTTCCACTGGGCCTAGGTAGATAGTAGGCAATCCATAGAATATTTTCCTGTTCGTTCAAGTACCCTCGGAGGAAGTGTCCTTTCTAAGAGCCCCCTAATCGAAGTGGGCCTCAGGTTAGCTTCATGACTGCAGAGGTTACTGGTATTCAGAAAAAGAGGTTGAGAATGAGTTGGCGCTCACCCAACAGGGGCCCCTTCTTCAAGGCGGGATGAAGCTATGCAGCATCCCAAGTCTTTTGCCTGGCTTGCATCTCTGCTGGCTCGCATCTCAGTAAAGCATGGGCCATGTTCTCCATGGAGCGCTGTTGTAGGCCTAAGCAGGCAGGCGTTCCAGGGGGCAGACTTCACGGGGAGACATGCCAGGCAAAAGACAACTGGATGCTTCTGTGGATCCTTTTGTTTTCCCTGCAGAGCGGTGTGGGCTCCCTTGTGTGCAGGTGCTGGACATCTTTTCCCTAGTGCCACAGAGTAATGCATCTACAGGGGTCCCTTACATAAAGGAGAAGAGGGAGGGGGGATAGCAAAAACACCAGGGACAGGGGTTAGTTCCCTCATTCTGCACCAAGGAAAGTGTGCCCAGGCACAAATCTTTGAGAGGGACAGCAGATCTTCAGTTCTCTTTCCCCTCTTGAAGGCTGCCTTGGATCCTTCCCAGTGGATGGCGAGAAGCACCAGATTTGGGGTTTGGTTGTGTCCTGCAAGGCTGCCACCTCCCATGTACCAGCTCTTCCGCTTGTCTCCTTTGCCTCCAACAAGATGCGGAGACCAAATTCTTGATGGATGCGGAAGGCAGCACCCTCCTTCCTGGGCCTGCTCGCATCCTTCTCTCAGTGGCATTCAGCTTCTCACCTTGCTTCTGTGGGGCAGCTGAATGCTTCCTGCAAGGGAGAAGCTCATTTCGTCTGCCTGAAGGACATATTTCCCCTTTCTTCTGCCAGGATGGGGCTGACCATGTCAAGGAAAAGCAACTGGCCACTGTTCAGTCCCCCCTTCTCTCCCTCGATCTGTAGCCTCTGGCAGGTCTCTTAAGCCCATTTTAGGCTCCACCCCTGTACAAAGAGCAAAACGTACAAAGCACAAAACACTTTTTTAAGGTGAGAACACTGGTGGGCATGTGCAGAGTGTTGTCTTTCAGACAGAAAGCTTCTAAAAATTATTTATTTTCAGTTGGTTGGACATTGATGACCAATGCCTTGGACATGATGCAGCTTGTATTCCCCTTTGACAGCTCGCACCTCAGAAGCAAATCTTACACAAAACAGGGAAAAACAGCCCCAAACTTTTTCCTCCTTCATCCCTCTAGCTAGGAAGACAACATTTGGGCCAGGGCCAGTGAAAGGCTGGCCAGGGCACCCCTCTGAACCCGCTCAGCCTTCCAGGTATCTATTCCTGCTTTCTGCGGCTATCTTCCGTGACCATTTCATATTTAATAAGCAGCTTGGAGCATTTCAGCCTGACTGTCAAGGAAAGGCTGCGGGAGCGTCATTCAATTACATGTAGGACGGGCTGGGCAGGCCCACAGAATGGCAGGCCGCACTCTGGCAAACATCTCCAGTCATCTCACATTGTAACTTTTTGATGTGATTATTGGTGCTGAAGGCTTCGCCAGCTAATAACATTTGAGGGGTTTTCATATACCTTCAATGTAAATAAGTGACTTTTCCTCCCGACCAAGGATTATTGGTTTTGCTGCTTACACGCCATGAAAGGCAAGTCATTTTTGGTTTAACAGGCTCTTAGGTTTGTAAAATGAAGCCCAGACAAAGTAATTCTGACAGGATTGACAGGTGGGGGAAAGGGGGCTCAGCTGCTTTAGGCCTGCAGCCTTGATGAGTCCTGCAATAAGTAATCAGATACTGTACGGAATGATGACAAATGTCAGTTTGGGATTCTCTATCTCAGGATGAGTGTTTTTCTGTGCGTTTTTCCGGGGGGCCTGTGCTGGTCAGAAGAGCTACTGCTGGTGCGGCTACTGAGGGGATGTTTGGCGCAGAGTGCAGATCGCTTGGGGAAATGCTGCTTCAGATTCTTCTGGGAAACTGACTAGGGGTTCTTCACTCAGAAGACCCAGAATGGTGGACACAGCCAGCCTCTCCTTCCACGATTAGTGTCAGCTGAGAGCGCTTCCCCAGGCAGGATTACTGTGAAGCTCAGCATCCCATGTTAGGCAAACCGCATGACGCAGCGCAACACACTGTGGTAGATGAATCTTACATGGAAAGAGTTTTCTGGCAGGAGACTTGGACTTTCTGCAGAGTGAGACATCATGTGAGAACCCTGCATGGTCTTAGCCTAGTTGTCTCCACAGTGAGTTAGAGGGAGCACCTGGGGCTCTGTGGCAGCGATAGGAAGTTTAAGGTGTGATTCCTGCATCTCTTAGTTCATTAGAAGGGTTTAGCTGGTCAGTGACCAATGAGAACCCCTTCATTCTTTAGCCCCTTCATGTTTGCACCATTCTGAAAGGCACACCATCATTAAACTGGTTGATTCACTGATGGGGGGAAAGGATACAGAGCTGCCATGTACTTCTTAGGCATGATCCACACAACAACCAAAGAGGGGGCCATTTTGGCCATGGTGCCATGTCCATGTCCTCCCCAGGAAGGTTCACCTGGCACCAACATTGCTTTCCTTCAGAGGCTAGGAGAAAATCTTTAATCCCCTGGGCTTTCAGAGCATAATTCACATTTTAAGATATTGCAGATTTTCTGGTGGTTTTGTTGATGTCGGCTTATCTTTTGGTAGTTTTAATTTGGAAGCCTTTCTGGAATCAAAACTGGTTAGAGTTTGGGACCTGGATACCTAAAGGAACGCCTGCTTCCATATTTGCCCTCCCACCCCTTGAGATCGGCAGCAGAGGCCCTCCTCCGGGAGCCCTCCGGGAGAGTCATCGGGAAGCAAAGTACCCGGAGGAGGGCTTTCTCTGCAGTGGCACCCCATCTGTGGAATGCGCTCCCCAGAGAGGTCCGCCTGGCACTGTCGTTATTTATTTTTCGGCGCCAGACCAAGACCTTTTTATTCAAAAAGTATTTTAGCAATGTCAAATATTTATAGGTTTTATTTGTGCAGTCAGGGTGTTTCCGGGTTTTAACAGTATTTGTTAAATTTATTTATTTGTGTGAGCCATCCCGAGGCTATATACCAAGGGGATGGCATACAAAAACTTTAATAAATAAATAAATAATAGAGTATCTAAATATTTTAAATGACTCTACTTTACATGACTGTGATATATCCAGTTCTCTTATGAATGTTTATAGCTGCCTGGTTATTAACCCAAGAAATGTCTGCTCCAACTGGGAGTGGCTCTTGAAAGATTCCCAGCCCTATTCCTAAGTCCCTGCTCGGACTGGAGATGCTAAAGAGTTTGGGATCTTCTGCATTCAAGATGTGTGCCCCACCTTTGAGTGGTTACCCTTAGGGAAAAACTATCCTTCCAGCATTCAAGCTTTGGAATCATGATTGCCAGCCACAAAATATACCCAGTGTTGATGAAAGCCAGGTTCACATGGTCACTGAGAAAAAGAAACCATGGTGCATGGAGGGGGAATCAGAACCCTGTTCTCCCCTGCAAAGGAGGGCAGGATGTGCTCCAACGGAGCAAAGCTCAGGGAACCCAGGTTCCATTTGGATGCCAGGAAGCACTTCCTGACAATCAGGACCCCGAGGGTGTGGAAGGGGCTCCCACGGGAGGTGGCTGAGGCCCCATCGGTGCGGGTGTTCAAGGATAGGCTGGACATGCACATGGTGGGCATGTCGTGAGCGGAGCCTGCTGGTGCCGGAGGTCAGACTAGATGGCCCGGGGGGTCCCTTCTGACTCGCTCTGTTTCTATGTTTCTATGCATCCTTTTCCCCATTCACACAGCCTGTCATTGGCCTGCTTTCCCTCATGGTCCATGGGGTGGCGTACTGTCTGAATCTGGCAATGTTCATGATGGGGAATGGCTTTGAAACCACTGCAAAGCTCTACAGCAAGCCATGGGATTGGGGTGGGGGGGCGAGGGGGCACCCTTGCCACATGCCTCAAAGTTAGGATGGCAGGCAACCTGCAACCTGCATCCTGCAAGAGAAATCAGGCAAATGGTGGCACACACGGCTGGCATGCAGCCCCCTTTCCTCAGCGATCATGTGACCCTGGCCGGTGTGTGCGAACTTGCAAACGGTTCACGATTGATAGAAAGATTATCCTCAGGTGCTCGACTTGTAGTGCACAATAAGTGGGACCGGGGGGGGGGGGGATTCTGTATGGCTCAAACTCAGCAGTAGCTCCTCTCTGTTTCTGACGGAACGGGGAGAATGAAGCTGCAGGAGACAAGTTATTCTTCTCTCGAGCCATTAGGGAGAGGGGGAGCTGTAACTTAACCTTTTCTTACAGCTGGATTCTGTTTGCTCTTTCCAAACAGCGGGGCCGATTACTACGATTACGCCCATGGGCTGAGTGAGGAGACATACGATTCTTACAGTGAGTAACTATAATGTGCTGGAAGTTCCTTTAAGTACAGAAAGAGGCTCTCAAGCATTTTGGATGTGCAGCCTTTTACCAAAGCCTTGCTTTCACACACTTCGAGAGTGGCCTCGGATGATCAGCCCTGGAGTGGTTGATTAAATTTTGTATGGCATGAACGAAGTGGATGGGGAGAAGTTTCGCTCCCTGTCTCATAGTCCTCAAACTGGGCGTTATCCCTCAAAGCTGAATGGTGGGAGAAAGCTGGCCAGACAAACCCAAGAAATGCTTTCACACACAGGGCGCTGCTACACTATGGAATTGGTGGTGGCCACCATTAGTCAGTTCTAAAGGGGGTCAGACGGGTGTATGAAGGAGGAGGAGACTCTCAAGAGCCGCCGGTCATGAGGGCCACCAACTACCTCCAAGCCAAGGGCAGATGCCTCTGGATGCTTGCTATCCCTGCTGGAGAAGGCTGCTTGTTGTGATGCTGTACTGTATCTCCCGCATCGGAGGCAGCGTGTGACTTGGGGAACAGGAGCTGGAGGCGATGTGGCCCTTGTGTCCTGCTTGTGGGATTCTCCCGGGCATCTGCTGGCCACGTGCGAAACAGAATCATGCTCTGCTAAGGCCCCAGACCGTAGGAAGAGCCCCGCTGGGTCAGACCAAGCCCTTCTGCAAGTGCTTCTCCTTCTGTCAATCCTGCCACTTACCACCTTGTGGCAACCGGACTTTGCAGCCGAAAGAATGCTGTGCTGTGCCTGTGAAGGGCCAAGGCTGCTCTGGCCTCGACACGCTGGAACCGGCTGGGCTCGAAGTGGCCAGCCATCTCGTCTTTTGAATACCGATGCAACACGGCTGCATGGCTCTCTTTGAGGCTCGACAGGCAGAGCAGAGCAGCTTTCAAACAGACTTACCTGCAGCAGGGAGAAGGGCATCCCATGAGACGCATGGATGTGAGACACACTCCACTTGTTGCTGTGGAGCTGAGTGGGTAAACAGTAGCACAGTCGCCAGCAGCCAGCACCCCTTGCCCTGATCGCTCATGCAGCGCTTCCTTCTGTGCACGGTGCTGAGCCAGGTCAGGTCTCCTCAAGGGCCCCAGCAAGCAGTCTGCTCAAATTCAAAACAGCCTTTCTGGTTTTTCTCTTGTCAACGAATCATTTTCCTACCTGCACTCACCTGCCTTTGATCTCCCTGGCATAGTACTCCCTGTGCTAATGGGAATAATGCAATCATTATACAGGCCATTTGCAAAGTAACCTAAATTCAGAAGAGTGGTCTCGAAGTCTACCGTCCAAATTTTGACAGAGGGGAGAGTAAAAGAGGGAAGAGACCCAAGTAGGAAGGGATTAATAGATGCAAATACATTTCCCACATAATTAGGCTTGGTTTCGGTTGAGAGAGGATGGCCAGTGGTAAAGAAGAAGATTGCCCAGAAAGGGAGTTGGGCTTGATGTAGGCACTGATGGGAGTAGCAATGTTGGCCCCACATACGACTGGGAAGAGCAGCCCCTTGGAGGAAAGGGCTCCGGCTGAGTTCTTCGCAGCTGTGGAATGAGGTGGCCACGCGTGTAGAACAGCAGAGCTGTGGTGTGTTGTTTGAGAGGTCGTGTGGGAAGCTCCTGCCGGCTTTTAGCATGCCCGGCTGCCGCCTACGTCTCCTTGGGCTCATGTCAGGAGCTGTGCAGCTACCCTCGGCCTCGTTCTGAATTCAACTTCTCCGTTGAATCAGAACCCAGCTTTGAACAGTTTTGGCTTGGCCTACAGGCATTTTCAGCACCGTAGGTTTGCTTCTCTGTGCCACTTCGACAGATTCAAGCAGGAAGTCATCACACATAGATTATGAAAGGCGTTTTAAATGGGCAGGAGACAGTGGAAGAGCGAGGGCAGTTGATAAAGCTTAACTCGCAGAGCTGAAACGACACGCTAATCACGAGGACTAATTTTAAAAAATTAAAAGCACGCAAGTGTAGTGGTGACAGGTTTAATTAAAGAAATCTGTTATGGATTAGTCACACAACGCATGTTGAGAGACACCTTTGCTTTGGGGATAAAAGCCAAACCTTTGGCTAGAGATCAGCGGGACTCAGACTTCGATCAGGCATGATGCTGAATGCCTGCATGCGCGCACACACAAACACACCACGACTTGCTTGTTGTCAGGGCGAGTGACTCATAATTTTCTCGCTAATGGATATAGTAACATTTTTCGGGGACATGACGGATAAGCATTTTCTGGGGACTCTTTGAAGTGCAGTGGATTTAAAAAGAGAGCGAGAGAGAGAGAGAGACGCATCTCTTCCCTCAAGCAGCTGTGCCCCTCGACTTGGGTTTGTTTGTCATATTAAATGGTTCCCCCACGCAGGACCGTCTGCGTGTCATGAGCAGAACGGTGCACCATTCACCTTGAAGGGAAGCAGCTGATTACACAGTTGTATCAAAAGGGAAAGGTCGCCCCGAGCCTCCTTTTGGCCCCTCGCAACAGGCTAAATTGGTCTCTGTGGGCTTGCGTGGCTTTGATCCTTTTATGCTTCGGCTTGAAGCGGAGCTGCCTGGCAGCAGGGGCCGGCTTCGGCTTTCCTCGGCACAGCAGACGCTTCCACACGGAGGCCTGCAATGTGCTTGGCGCAGACACATCAAGCGAGGCACCCAGAGGTTGCCGGACCCTTCCTTCCAGACCGACTGTGTTCCACTCTTCCCGGCCCACTGCGGCCACCAGTGCTGTGATGCGTCGCCTGGGGAAGCGCCCCATTAAAAATGCGGATGAGAGTGCCGGTCGGGCATTTCCACTGCTCTGTAATACGGGTGTGTGGCTCTGATGGTGCTCCTTTGCCACAGTGTGTGGCCCTCCAGATAGCCTGGCTTTCCAGCCAGCATAGCCAATGGGGGAGGGATGATGGGAGGTGAAGGCCGAAATATTGGCGGTCTGCAAATTGCCCACCCCTCCTCCACCAGCTTCACTGGTCATCCGTGTCTTTCTGGGCTCGGCTCTCAAACCACTGGTGGTCTGGACCCTTTGGTGGCCTGCACCTGCGTGTCGCCTTGGCCGCTCCTCCTCCTGCCTTCATAATAGCCCTCCTGAGAGCTTCATTCAGTTTCCAAGGTAGCTCTCTAGATACATGACAGCCGGGAACTAAGAAAAGGCCTTTTAATGGTGCCCTGGATCTGACTTTCTCCCAAAGGAAGCATTCCTCTTGCCATCACTGCTTGCCTGTGGAAAAGTTTTAAAGAAGGTTTTATCTCCATGAGCTTTCTTGAGGTACTACTTCTTTTAAAGGGTGTTAATGCTACAGTTGTTTTTAAACTTCTGTGAGCTATTATAGATTAATTTGTTTTACTCTTGTTGGCCGTTGCTTTTTCTGCAAACAGCTTTCATTAGAAAAAAATGTGTTATTTCTCTGAACTCTTGTCCCTTTTTGTTTGTTCGCTTGTTTTGTTGTTGATGAACCAAACTACTAACTTGCAGTTAAGGAGATTTTGAATCGCACATTTGTATACTATTTGTACAAATAGAACAACTACAAATAGTACAAATGCAAATTTGTACAAATACAAATAATTTGTATACTATTTTTTCTCTAGCAAAAGTCACATAAACCATTCTTCTTTGCTTTGTCATTCCATTCTGTACTTTCCTTCTTTTTTCCTTCTATTAAAATATTTTATAGACTACCCTGCAGCCATAAAATTGTTCTTAAAAGGGGAAAGATTGAAACTGGGTATATAAGTGCATCTGGAGAAAATAGGAAGCTTCAAAAGGTTACTTGGAAGAAATCAGTTTCCTTGAAGTCTCAGGCTTACTTTTTACTCAGGAGATAGACTTGTGCCTGGATTTTACCAGGGGGCTCAGATAGTCGAATGCTTTTCCACCCAAAAGTTAGAGGAGCATTCCATGGAAGCCTCCACTTGCAACCTGAGATGGCATGGTCTGGAAGCTCAGGCCTCTGGGAGAAACCAGCTAGACCTTTTCTGTCATGCAAGATGGCTTGCAAGCCTTCTCCTCCAGTACCAAATTGTTGTGAAACTATGTCACAGCGGTTTGTAGGAAAACCACTACTGAACTGTGTTTGCGCTTCTTATTTCAGGACAGGAAGACTGGACCAACTCAAGACACAAGGCACCTCCGGCGAGAACAGCAAAGGGAGCCTACAGAGAGCAGCCATATGCCAGATACTGATTATACTGTCTGATGTTGTGAAATACCCAATCTCCACCAGTCCTGTATACTGTTCAAAGTAATTTTTTTCTATGAACAATCCCTTTTTATTAAAATCAAAGTGCTTAATCTGAATGGACGGACTGAGCTTAATCTATTTTTTGCCGAATGAAAAACCTGGACAGGAAGACATGAAACGAGGAGCTTTGTTATTTCCAGATTGTATTTGGAAAAAAAAAAAAAAATAGGCGATCAAAACACACAAAAAAGAGAAAAAAAAATAACCTTTGATTAACTAGTGTTAAAAACAGCTAGGTTTACTAAATATGTTAATCCATTATTTTAACCTAAGCGTAACCTTTTATTTTAAAGGTTTTCAACAATTTAGTTCTTATAGTTTTATCTTTCAACCATTTTGCTAGTTTTTCTCTTGCAAACATGCGTAAAAAGAGAAGCAGATCACAAATGCAAATAATGTGGTATTTTGTAACTCGAGTCTTGAAATGTTCTGTAGTGTTAAGCAAAGTTTAATCTTGCTTGATACTAAATAAACTTTTGAAAGAAAAATCAGTGTGTGTGAGAGTATGCATTATTTATTTAAAAACCTTCATAAATAGTAGTAAACAGAGAGGGAGTGATTAACCATGATCAACATAAAATGGCTCCTACTAAAACATTGTGCTACTTCTTTTTTTTTTTTTAATAAAATGGTATAAACCTAAAGGTTCATTTCATTATATATATATATTTATACTTCCACCTATACACACAATATAGTCTTAAAGGCTTTTTTAAAGGAAATATCCAAATGGTATTGATCTGCTGGAATGCCACATTTTAAAAACAAATTCTTGGTTTAAAATAGTTAATGCATTTTCTGAAACAAAACAAAACAAAGATAAAAAGAGACAAACACCTGTGACCTAGTTTTCATCTTGTTGAGCATTTCTTCACTAGTGCAACATTGGATTTTTTATTTTCTTTTGTTTTTTGAGAATTTTGGTACCTTAATGACAACCTCGCTCCGTGCTGGAAGCAATAAACACAAAGCTTTTAAAGACTTTCTGACTTGACTAATTGCGGTCGCTTTCGTCAGAGGCAGAGGATGTGTAACCCTTAAAACGGTCTTCATTTGCAAAGGTAAATAAATCAAATAAGATTTTAATCTCACTTAATTTATCTTAATATAACCAATAAAAGCAGGGAAGAGTACCAATTAGCAAGTTCTATTTTAGATTATAGGGAGAGGTTTTAAGATAACCACCTAAAATTTCATATTAAAAAGTTTAATTTGTTCTAGTCATCTAAAAAGCCTTAGCTTGGTCAGTTTAATTCGAGCAAATTATTCCCTATTAAACAAATGTAAAACCTCATAACTAGTAACTTGTAATCCTAGCATTTATGGACAAATAATGTAACTAAGAACTTAAAACATTACAAATGCTTTTTTTTTCTTCTAAAGCTTTTTTAATGGTTGGTTTTATGTCTTTTAGTTGTGATATTATGAATTGCTTTCTCTTTTATCTGCTTTAGATTTTAGAGTCTAGAGTTTTTTGGTTAGTAAATAGATTTTTTTTCTCTTATCAGGAAACATGGAATGCCATGGAAAGCCAAGAGGATGCAAAACCTGTTTCTGTTGATATTTCGGTAGGTACCCATCCTGATTTTAAGGTGTGGTTATTGAAGTAGCTGGGGTGTACTATCCAAAACTGTCACAGCTGTGCTGGAATTAATGTTGCCCAAGCATAAGGCAACATTAGAGCAACCTCATTAGGGCCTGCCAGGCAAAAGCAAAAAGCAGCCGCTTGCCACCAAATTTTAACAGCTAATTGCTGCTTTTCCTAACAAGCCCTAATGAGAATGTGGCAGTTTATACTGGTGTTGTGGTAGCATTGGATATGGCCCAGGGAAGCAGTCTGTAATTTGTGCACTGCATTTCCGTTCATATTGTGTCTTTCTCCCCACCCTTGGAATGGGTGTGCAGGCGAATCTGCAAACAGAAATCAACGTAAATCAACAAGCTGTAATTTATCCTTCAGGGCTCCTCCATGATGCTCCATTAGTGACTGAATTCAGACGTCATGCCAAGACTTTGATTTACATCTCAACCTGCATCAGCTCTTGAACCGTTATTTGCAAGGGAATGCCAGAGTGCACCTTGGCAGCGTGGTTCGAAGCTGGTTTGCCAAACACAGTTTGTTCTGTTCTTGCACTTAATGTATGGTTTCCCAGGCCATAGTTAAGGTGATCCTTCTTGCTCAGAAGGCTTACCATGTACCATGGAAGTGAAACTGAGTTTAACAGGTCCAGCATAGAGTAGGTGGGAAACAAAAGCAGACAAGGAGATGTTGTGTTGTTTCACCGATAGGCATTTGAATGTCCAAACTGTGCTTTGGATTTTTATGGTGGCTTTCATGGTTTGGAACAATGTCTGAATTGAGCCAGTCTGTTGCATCTTTCCTCCAAAAATGGATGTCATGAGAGGTTGTGTAGCTTCAGACTGCATTCTGGACCTGAAGCCTAGGATGGTGCTTGAAACACACACCTCCCTTCTAGTTCTCTTGGCCCCATGTCCAGAAACATTCCTTTTTAACAAAAAAGGAAGTGAACACTGCTTTGCATGACCAATGAGCGAGCACAGAAGAACATGTATGAAGGTTATCGCTGCGCTGTCACTCCCTTGCCCAGAATTTCTGGCAGCAGCACAACAGTTTCAGGCAGCCGCTTTAGCCAGTCCTATTTTGTGGAAAAGTTCACAAAATAGGAGCATCTCACTGGGATGGGATGTGTGTGTTGCATTAAAAAAGGGATCTGACCCAAGGAAAGCTCAGTTCGGTTACCTGCATATATTACGATTTAGCGTGACTGCTTTTATCTTGCACATTATTTTTCTCACTGTTCTTGGGTGGCCATGAGAACAGTCTAGGTGCTGCAGGAGGAATGCTTAGCTGAGGTTCAGCAGGCATGTTGTGCACCTTTTAAAGGCAGGATACGGAGCCTGAACTCTGCTGGCTAAATCTCACTGCAGCCCTTTCTCTAGATGATGGTTCCTTTGGTAACTTCCCACCTTTTGCACAGTCTTTTCTCTCTTCTGAAAAGCTGAAATGCTGCTCTTCAGTCTTAGTGGCTGGAAGTAAAATTCACTGATATTTCTGGCTCTGCCCTTTTGCTTTTGGCCCTGGGAAGCAATTCCTACAGGCTTCTGCGAAATGCAATTAGTTCCTTGGGCTGAAAAAAGATTCAGCACCTTCACTTTGAGGCAGAGCTTTACACTCCTTTAGTACTATAAACTGTTTTTTAATCTAAAAAGCGGCATTTGTTTATTAATCCAGTGAGGCAGCCTTGTTGACATGCTTAGCAAACAAGCCACAACCCTCTGCGCACCATGGTTTCCAGTGGTTTCTCAACCAAGCTGACAACCCAGCCGTGCCCAGCTTGGATGGCGCAGCAAGCCAGGGTGGCCACACCCCAAGCTGGAATATTCTAAATGGCCCCTGACCCAGGCCATGGTGCAACGCAGTGGGCATGTGAGCCAGCCCATTCAGTGTCCTCCAGCAGCAGAGCAAGCCCAGAAGAGATTCCAAGCAGGCCTCAGGTAACACTCCTTAAACCCAGTAATAATAGAGGTGTTTTGTCACATAGTTCCCTTTTCATTTGCAAGGAGCTGTGGGCAGTGTAGGTGGCCCGTAGCCCAGCTGCCAGTTTTGGGGTCTTCTTAACAACCCTGTGAAGTAGGTTAGGTCCAAGGCCCACAGCTCTCCCCAGTCACGGTCAAGCACTGGTCCCCTCGGATTCTTCGGGAGTGAGGGAGTGGCAGCAACTCAGCAAGTGTGTGCCATCTTTCTTTTGACAATTGCCTGTTAGCCTGTGGAAGAAATTGCACACTGAAAGGCAGGCCTGTAATAGCTGCTCAACAGGTGAGAATTGCCTTCAAGTTACCGCTTAGTGCGGAAAGTACCCGTTCTTTCGTGCCTTCGGTACGCCAGGAGAGCTGACAATCGGTGCAAGCTGACATCACCAGCCAGCGAGCGTTAAGCGGGTGTTACGAACAGGGACCGGGCCTGAGTCAAGCCTCCATCTGGCCTTCCGTTCAGTGCCTTGTGAAGGGCTACAAGATTGCACTGGCTTGAAGCCAGAGCTGCAGGTGCAACTTGGAAGGTGTTGCTGCTGCATTTTGGGCAGGCGGTCGCTGCCCCCGCCAGTACACCGTGGGTGTCCAGAATGCGGAGCCTCTGTCTTCTTCAAAAGCAGCCCAGCTTCCAGGGAACATGGAAACCTCCTGGGGGTGGGGGGGGCCACCACCCAACAATTAGTTTGCAAAGCATTGTGGGTGGTTCGCATGTTCTCCTGCGCTCGCTCATTGGTCGTGCAAAGCAGTCTCCTCTTCCATTAGAACTGCAGTATGGGCACTGCCTGCACTCGGGAGCCAGAGTTTTAGAGGTGAAATGACTTGACCTAGAGTGGCTGTTTGCGCACAAACCATCGCTTGATGTCAAAGGCACGGGATGATGCATGCATGTGTATTTGTTCTACCGTTGCTCTCTTACAGTACAGTAAGATAAGCGCTTGTTGGGTTTGGTCAGAGGTTTCACAACTTTCCAAAAGATAAAAGTTAATTTCAGAAATACAAAATCTCAGAAATTACAAAGTCAGAACCTAGAAAAATAAAACTTGGGAGCAATGAATACGGTTTACTAAAATACATGGATAAATTCTGCAAATCGAAGCATCATTACAAACTGCTAGTTCTGAAGTAATTCTTGAGATTGGCAAACCGGCAAACCCTATGGGTCATTTATATGAATATACGTCATATACTTTGCTTAGAGAGCCCCATCAGGTTTTTCAGTGGTCAATAAATTTATAAATTAAAAAAATACATTCATCCGTATCAGACAATAGATGACTTTCAGAAATGAGCCTCGCATGGAAGTGGGCCCAAATGGAGACAAGGTATTTCCTCAGTCATGGTCCAGGTCTGACCACTGAGCCGTGGCCCTGTCTGGCCTTCCCCAGCAGGCCTGGTCTTGCCCACCCCCAGCCTCTGGCTGTTCGGCAGTTTTCAGCTTTCCGGTTTTTCTGTATTCCATGAAGTTGAAACACCTCTCCTGAGGCTTAGTGCCTGGTAGCAAGGACTTTAAGCTTATATATGTTGTTGATGTTTGAATTTTTGGCTCACCCTCCACTAGAATGCAGCCTGTGAGAGCTCATCCAAAACTGCATCTGACAGAGGTTCCCTAAGCTTGGCTTAAGAGATCAGGCCGCTTGCCCCACTGGACAGTTTTTCCTTCTCTTCATCCCAGAGTTGCTTCCTTCTCCCTCCCTCTGCTTGGCCCAGGCCCAGCCGCTCAAAAAGGAGCCAAACAGAGAATGCCCATGATGCCCGGTGGACAGAAGGTCCGATCGCTACTGTGCTGACCAGAACAGGTTAAACTTGTTTAACTTTCAGGAAGTTTATTTAAAGTGGGGAAGCACTGAAGCCTGACCTGCTGCTGCAGCATTGTCCCCTCCTGCTTCTTTCTCCTACCTGTGCAGGTGAGGTCTCCATGGCATTTCCCCAGCAATGCTGGCTGCAATACACTGGGAGTCCGAGGTCTTTTTTCTGTGTAAACATGCAGGGCATAAGCAAGTGATTACGGCACAGCTGATCTTATGCCCACTAGCATAAAGTCGGGCCTACTGATGGGGTACCTCCTTTCTTTTTCATCTCCCATGAAGGAGATGTTAAAGGGTGAGACTCACATGCCTTTTGCCGACTTTAAACCATTGGTCAACAGTACCGTGGCTCTGCTGTTTTCCTTCGGAAGTACTTGCAGCAGGTTTCCCCAAATAAATAAGTCACATTTCTAATTGTTGCTTTCAACCACCTACAATGAGATCATCCCCATAGGGTCACCCGTAATTGCTGGGTCCAAGAATATATACATCTGTGTCTTTTGTTCTGCTGTTTTCCAGGGACTCGGCTCGCTCTCGTGGACAGATTCAAAGTACAACCCTCACCGACGTGCCTCAGAAGCATTTGCCAGCAGCTATTTCAAACTCCAGTTTGATTTCCTTTTTATGCTACCTGCTGTAATTCTGTAACTTGTGCAGCTTTTCAGACCTCAGTTTTAACTCTCGCATGTTTATTCATTTAAGTCGTGTAACTTTGTGAAGGTGTTAATAAAAGAGTTTTCCATTTCTTTGTGCAAAGAAATATTGATTCTTCACCAGACTCCTGTAGTTTTTGCACTGCCAGAGGAACCAGCAAGGGGGTGGGGGTTCTGCTTCCAACTTGCCCGTTACTGGAAGGGGCTTATCTATTGTGTATGCAGCTAAGGCAAGTAAACAGAGGAATGTGTGGCAGCAAATACTTTGGCTCAAGGTAAACAGATACGCCTGGAGCATGAGGCAACATAGGGAGAAGGGTGTTTGAAGGGGAAAAACCACTGCATAATTCCCTGCTGTTGGAAACATCACGTGACCTTTCCTATCACGATTTGTGAAGCATCCCTGCCCCATAGCAAGCCTGCCAGCATAGCGTTACGACACGATTCCTCCTCCTCGGCTCCGCAAACAGGCAGCATTTGGCTATCCAGAGGTTTTGCCCCGCAGCTCCCACCAGCCCTGGCTTAGCATGGCCAACACCAAGGCATGGTGGGAGTTGCAAGCCAAGATATCCGAGTGTCCACGGCTTTTGTTACACCCCCTTGTTCCCGTTTGGTGCAAATCCTCGTGTGTGTTCTGTGCGTTGCGCCTGCTGTGCTCGGCCTCCTGGAGAATGGTGAGCAAGCACTTCCATTCATCAAGCCTCTTCTCCTTCTTGACGTTCCAAGGGAGCTACTTCAGTTTTCGTTTCTCCATAGCTCCTCTACTGCTTACCCCCTGAATCCCAGTTTCCTCCTCCGTTCATTCCTTTTAATGCAGACCTTCCTGGCAGGGCTTTGGGTCCTTGCTCCTTTCTGTGCAATAGATAGTATAGGCATGGTAAAGTCTTCAAGAATTGTAGCATATTAGAAGTCTGTGCTGCAGTGCCACTTTTATTTCCTGAAGCCCATTTTCGTTCTTGAGAGCTCACATCAGGTCCCAAGCAATCCTCCTTAGTGGATCTCTAAGCCATGTTGACAATGTTCAGTCCTCCGTGAGAAAAGGAGGATTTTCCAGCTCCCTTTGGTAGCATAGTGGAGCAGCCAGAATTGAACCACACCAGGACCGTAAGGAACAAGAAGCATGACCACATCAACCCAAGTGGTGCAACTTGGATGCTCCAGATAAAGACCCTGAGTTTGCAACAGGAAAACCAGCACCCAAAGGCATGCAAGTCGCTGGGCAGGGCTCAGAGGGACCCTACTGGATGTGGGCACACCTTCTGCTCTCATGGTGCAGGCGTGAGCTATTTCCATCACCACCTCTTCCCAGTGGAGCTCTCCTACACAACAGGACCATTCCAGAAGGACCCTGTTTCTCAGGAGCAGCTTTTCTCATGAGAAAGGCTACAATGGAGAAGAGGATGTGGAAAAGCATCACCCCACAGCTGGAGTTCTCCTTGCTGATTTAGGCTGGAATTCCCCCCTTGGGGGATGTTTCAACAGTGCCACAGGCATGCCTGCAAGTGCAGAGAAACACTCAGGTGTGTGTTGTTGCCTTTCCCTTACGCACTGCATCCTTCATTCATTTTGATCCCAGGTTTCTTCCCATTATCCCTGGTCACCCCCATGCTTGGTTTTTCGGTGTAAGCACCCAAGACTTCTGTTGCTGCTCTGTAAAACAGTTGTACACACTGAAGGCACCATTTAAAGGAATAATTTATCAGGCTGTAACATTTAATTGATTAAAAAAAGAAAACTACTTTCTGAATGACCCTAATTAATCAGCCAGTAATATATGTCTGTCTGTCTGTCTGTTGTGCATTCCTAGAGTAGTTTACATAGGTTAATAATGGACAGATCTTACTCCTAGATTTACAATCTAAAAGACACAGTGCTAAAGAAGATTGAGAGGGAGGAGAAAACATATAAAACTTGGAAACCGTTTTTTCTTCTTTAATGCAAGTACAAAAAGGAGGATGGCACGCATGCTGTTATGATGTGCTCAAATTTCCTCCCATGGAGGGATCCCCTTTCTTAAGATGTTTACTACAGCGAGCATGCATCTTCCATGTTCAAAGGAAATAAGCGCATCACTTCAGAACGATTGTTACTTGATAAATGGATGCCACTTTACAATTTTAGATTTTATTTGCATACAGAAAAGTTTTGATGATGATTGTGACAGTCTTAAAAAAAACCCAAAAAACGAGATATCCAGTGCAATTATTTTCCTTACTCAGAATTTTCGATTTCATGGCAACATTAGGTATGTGTGCTTCGTGGCAAAAGAAGGTTTCATAAATCCCTGGAATGGAGAATCTCTCAAATATTTTAATGCCCATACAAATCTAAAAAGTAGTCAATGCCATTGACTTCATTGGGGTTTACTCTCAGGTAAGCAGGCATAGGGTTGCAGTTTCTTCTACATGGGTCAGTCTAACACCATAGGGCTTTAGTATGCTAAAAGTGATGCACAACCTCAGTCAATGCAGTGTGAGTGACTGGATGTCCCACATGTCTAGACCAGTGCTTGGCCTGCTCTGGTAACTCTCTTAGGCCCGGAGTAGAAAGCAGTATCTAAATCAGCCCTGATTCTTTCTGAGGAACTCGACTCCCCAGTGTTTATACAGAGATTGGGTTTTCCATAGCCTTGCACCCCATGACGTGTAAATCGGATGTGCATCCTTAAAGACTCAACAAAACCCATAAAAGTGGATATTTTCAGATGGCTCGTCTGCCATACACCTCTGCTGTTCAACCCCAGAGGTTATTGTCGTCCATCGCTTTGGTGTGCAAGGTGTGGTTTCTCTGAATGCATCCACCAGTTAGATTGACACCCACAAATGGAGTTGGACTTGTGCATTTGCCCCAAAACCCACTCTAGGCATTTGGCTTAGCCGTGAGTGTGAGGAAACACTGCGGTACATAAATAGCTTGGAGAAGATTTCATTTCCCACATTGCTTGTTTTGACCTTTCCTTGGATGCACATAATGGTGATGGAGAAAAGCTGACACAGCCTGAGAAACTTTCATTCCAGATTGAGGATTTATTTAGGGGGCTGCAAAAGGTGCTCTCCCCCCCCCCCCCACTTCAGTTTTCCTGTTCTCAAAAGATCCTTTTTTTCTCTCAAATCACACCTGCTGGTTAGGGACAATGTGAAAGTGCACTTGAGCTCTTGAAGAAGAGGCCAATTCAAAGGCAGCATCTCTTAGCATCTTTGAAATGCCGTTCTCTTTTGACCGGTTGAGCAATACTGGCTTAGCTGAAGGTCTTCCAGGGGAGAGGATCCATGTGGAGGAGGAGTGATCCCTCAGAAAGTGCAGTTCCTTTATCAGCCTTTCCTTCTGCTCTTCTACATCCCAGACAGTATCTTGCTTGCTTTGAGTCTAACCCCAGCCAGTATTTGAAAGCACTCTGAGAGCCAGATCACTCGTGCTCAATGAAGTTTGCAAGACTGCCTGCACAACTTCACTGCCAGACAAGGTGGCAGTCGGGTTCTGTTACGATCAAGAGAGCTGCACCCACCAAAGCAACCCAACCCCAACCCTCCCCCCGTATCCAGGCACAAGAGTCTCCTTGATCTCTTTCTCCCTCGGTGTTTGCACCATGCTTAAACAATTTCCTAGCAGTGGTCTGAAGAACCTGCACGCATTAAAAATATATCTTGGATCAGGGCAAGTAACTTCCAGCCCTCTAGAGGTCTTGGAACTCCCTTCAGCTCTAGCTGGAGTAGCCACGGGGGAGGCACGATGGATCGTGCAGAAGCAGCGTTGAGCAGATTCTTGGATTATACATGGCGTGGCCAGTTTGGGTTGATGTGAGTAATAGGGTCTCTCATAACACAGCTAGGCATGATCCAACTAGCCCCACTCCAGCCAAGCCTCACCAAGAGGTTTGTCCAAGCTAGGTTTTTAATTACAGTATAAAGTGTATTAGCCAATGTCAGTTAATCCCTTTCCATTCCTGCTAACAAAATTCTCTATCAAGGCCTGTTTTGTGAGCTTATGAATGGAACAGGAACAGGCAGCTTCAGTTAAGAAGAGCTGTTTTAAAGGTCTTGATGCCTCCAGTAGGGTGCCCTCTATTTTTCCCATGTCACATTCCTAACTCAGCATCTCTTTTACTCTCTGTGCAATTTCAAAGTCCTTTTCTAACCCACAGAATTCATGCAAATATTTATTTTCCTACCCTAAGTGATGGGGAAGTGTATGATAAGCCAGGAACTTGCTTGCTTGCTTTTTAATGCATCGCTCAGAGATCCTTTGAGAAAAATTCACTGCAAACAAGCATCGCTGACTAATTTATAATTGAAGCCTGAGGGAACTGAATTTGCGTCTGGACCAGCAAATCTGGCCTTCCCCCAACATCTGGCCTTCCGCCAACCGCATCAAGGTCCTGCATTCTGGTCCAAGATGCTGCTGCTTCCTGATTGGTGGAACTCACCTGGTGCCCTGGGGAACGATCTCATCCCCTTCCTGGCCCTCCTTTGCATTGCATTCCAAGCTGCTGCTGGCTTGTTTTTGACATTTGTACCCCATGTTTCTATAAAATATTCAAGACAGCTTTAAAATTAAAAAAATAAAATCCAGAGTGATACAGACAAGCTTTCACTAAGTCAGAAACTATCTTAAAGTGCCCCAAAAGGATGTAGAATTTTCCTCCTGGATTCTGGGCCTGGGTTAATCCTTCCCTTGCTTCTGCCTAGTATCACTGGATCGGTTCCTTTTTTAAAAAAATAAGTTTTATTTGAAATTGAAATTATAATCCTAAAAAACAAAGAAAAAACTAAAAACAACATCAATCATCAAGCATATCAGACCTGCTGGGTCAGCCCCCACACCCTTCTTTTTCCATTTATGATAACTTGAAAACATATTTAAATCTATGTGAAGTCCCGTTTCTCTAGCCAATAATAAAAAGAGTCCCACGTTTGATAGAAGTCAGTATCTTCCTTCTCCTTCAGTGATAAAGTCAATCTATCCATTTCTGCACAGTCCAATATCTTTCTTAAAATCAATTCCTTGGTGGGTAATTGTATCACTGGATTGGTTCCTGATCATGACTCCATCTTCCATCACCCAACACCACAAACTGCAGGCGTTGTGATTTGGGTATTTGTCT